ATTTATATATAACTTGTGTGCAAAACTAACATTTTGCATTTCCAGCTTTTTCATATTACTTTGAACTAAAATGAAGAACCATTGAAGCAGCYGTTCTTTGTGGATCAACCAGAAACTAAAGGCCTCGCTCACTTTCTGTCCGATCAGCTCGTCACTTTCCCCGAACACGTGGCGTCTCTCTGAGTGTCCGAGGATCACCCAGTCGGCGCCACAGTCCTTTATCATGGCCGGGCTGAAGGGACGAGACATGGAGACGTGTCAATAACACAACTAAATCCTGAGTTTACACTTTTATCATTTATATCTGCAGGGGTTTATATGTGATTAGATTCATGTTCTGTTGGTCTGAAACACTTCACTTTTATCATCTGTTTGTCTAAAATATTCATATTTATGAAATACTGTTATATTTTTCCTCTTTGAGATAACTTATAATAAAGTAATTGACATTTTAAAGTAAAACCTACAAATGTATGTCGTCTCTTTTTGTCCCTTCAGTGGCAGACACACCTGATCTCTCCGGTAAACGCTCCTTTGGACACCTTGTAACAGTTCTGGGCTGCGACGCTGATCCGCGGATCCAAACAGGACCGAGCAAAGTCCAGGTAGATGGAGGGAGCAGCACAGACCACCTCTGAAAACAAAGACTGGGTTTTAGTTTGTTTACATRAAGAATCTTAAAGTATTGAGACCTGGAGACATTTTTTATATTTTCTGAACTTTGTTTTAAAAYATTAGAATGAGTCTTTAGTAGTTCTGAGTCTCTAATTACATCACATCAGTCCACTGCATTCATAAAATTTATTTAAAGGTAACTTAAAGTCTTTATTTGTTTATTGATTTCATATAAAACACAAAAATTGACAGAAAAAACAAATTATTTAGAAGCTATAAACAGGTGATTAATGTCAGAAAATATTAAATTCTGGATGTTTTAAGGATGAAGTTGTATGACAAATTAAATGCAATACATTTTTTTGTCTTTTGTTGACATGAAGTTAAAATAAAGACAGATTACAYGACAAGACTGACACATTTTTACAAAGCATCTAAAACCGAGTCCTGCTGAGTTAGAAAAACTGGAACATAAATGCATAAATTCTGCATGAATTTAGATTTGCTGCAATAACAAATAAATTGAATTATTTTCTAATTATAAACTTTACAGTAGCCTATACCACWAACAATAATAAAACAACAACAAAGGAACTAGAGATGCAGCCTACTTTTACCACCCAATGACAAACAGGTCAAAGGATTTCTGAGCCTCATCCTGATCACGTGACTCTGCGTGACGTCACACCATCCTGATGACTTTTCTTCATAACAAAAAGCAGCTGATCAGTATTATTATTAATCAGACTGTTACCGGTCTCATCCTGCAGGCTGGACGTGTTCAGGTCCAGGATCAGTTCTCCCAGGCTCTCCTTGGTCCCGTTCATCTTCCAGTTTCCTCCAACGAAGAACCTCCGGAGCGCCATGTCCGGCTGCTGGTGGCTGCTTCCCGGCGAGGAGAGAAGAGGAGCTGGAGGTCCGGTCGGGCTGCTGTGTAGTTCAGGTGCAGTGGGAAATGTCAGCACCGAACACCAGAGGAGATTAGTGTTATTCTGGGAAAATGACAAGCGTGAACAACTAACTGGTTCTTTACTGCCCCCTGTTGGAAGG